ATTCAACTATACACATATATGTCTTATTCTAGTTTTTTGTCCCATCCAAGATTCGTAAGGACTTACATTTGATAATGAACTTTTTCCTGTTCTTTTAAAATATAGACAGTTGTACTAATAAATTCAGCTCATAATGATGAGGGAAAATTAACTTCAGAATTAGAATTCTTCAAAGTTCTTGCCATTTCTGTCATGGTTCTGTTTTCTCGCTCACTCCCACCGTTTTGCTGTGGGGTATAGGGGGCAGTTAATTTTTGAAGAAATCCATTTTGTCTTAGAATAAGCCTAAAATTTTCATTATCAAACTCACCATTGTCGCTTAACAACTCTTTGATGGTATGTCCTAAGTTTTTTACATGTGCTAGCATATTTTCAACTGCTTCTGCAACTTCTGATTTATGGCTAAGGAAAAACACATGCCTAAATTTGGTGAAATGATCTTTGAAGACTACAAAATAATGATACCTTTTGAAGGATTCGTCAAACGGTCCGCAAACATCCACTGAGATAAGTTCTCCGGGCTTTGTTTTCTTCTGTATGTTGCCAAATTTTAGATGATGTGTTTTCCCCCATATATACAGGGTTCACAGAGTTGACTGTCTTACCATCTGTTCTTCAAGGACATTCTTAATATGACGTTTGTCCTGGTGACCCCAGCGCTCATGGTATAACTGCAGAGTTGAATCACTTGTGACAGCTATGTTGACTTCTACTGGGTTATTCGGAACAAGTACTTCCATATGAATTTTATACAGACCACCACTTATGCTTCTTGTTCCATAGAGTACAACTTTGTTGATTTTCAAGCAACATTCTTCTGCGGTTGACTCAAATCTACTTTTTTTTTTTTTTTTTTTTTTTTCTTGAGCAGCCAGGACGGAGAATAAGTTCTTACTAATACCTGAAACAAACCAAACTTTTTAAAGTTCTTTCAATTGTTTTTCTCCTTTTATTGCTGTCATAATCTTCAAAGTTCCTTTACCTACAGCTGGTAGTATTTTGCCATTTGCAGCAGTAATTCCAAGTGGTGTTTCAAATTTTTCAAATTCTGTGAAGTAATCACTATTATTGGTAATGTGCTTTGAAGCACCATTATCCACAAACCAGTCATAGCAATTCTTTTCAGATGAGAAAAGAATTGCTTCGTCTAGAGCTAATAAGGACATATTTGCTATAAGATCATCTTTTCTTGAGACTTTATCATTTTGACTGGGCTTCGGTGGTCTTCCATCTTCTATCCATTTTCGACAAAATTTAATCCAATGTCCTCCCTGGTGGCAGTAGTTGCATTTTCCTATATGCTTTTTACCTTTGAAATTTCTTTTTATTTTGCTTGCTTTAGCTTCTAATGCATCTTGATTTTGGACATCACCTTTAGATTTTTCTTCTTTATATTCTCTTTCTTGAGAGCATAATTGAGTAGTTAACTCATCAATTGTTCTTTTCTCTTTATTGAGAAGCATCCAACTTGACTTAAAAGAATGGTGTTCTTGAGGTAGTGTGTCTAAAATTTTGCAAATTCCTAAATTTGGTGGTTGGGTTTCTTGCTTTCTTTGAAGATCTAAATGTAATTCATTCCAAAGATTCTTTAGCTTTGGTAGATGGGTAGCCATACTATCATTCATTGTCCACGTACACTGGAAAAATTGTAGACAAATAGTATATAACTGATTGTCAGATGTGGCTTCAAAACGTTTATGAAGTTCTAGCCATACCTCTCTAGCAGTATGAAACCTCATAATTTTCTGCATGGTTTCTTCTGTCATAGAATTTGTTAGTACCATCATGGCACAAGTGTTGGCCTTTTTATATCATGAAAGATCATCTGAGTATTTCTTCAAAGTTGCTTCAACAGTTCTTTCAGGTGGCTGATGTGGTTTAACTACTTTTACTTCAACTTCCAAGGAGTCGTTATAGTAGTTTAAAGCGAACGTGATTCTGTACTTTGACATCGGCCAATCCGATTCTTCACTTAATGGCTTCAACTGCAACTTTCCTACCTCTTTTATTCACTCTTGGCGTTTTTATAACATTCTTCACTTTTAACGAAAAAAAAAAAAAAGATGAACTTGAATATTTAGTCCACTTCAATCAAATACTTCCCTTTAGAGCTTTCTTTAAACAAAATATGGTTTCAGGACTTGAATAATGAGAAGAAAAAACTTTGCCGTTTCTTGCTGATCATGTGGTTAGGGTTAACGCTATTCTCTTAACATTATAAAAACTTCTGCATTAAAAATAAAACTCTACTATTATTTTTTCCACATGTAGCGTGTGTAAAACCCATAACCTATTGCATTTTAAGATTAAATATACTAAAACTGGAAAAGAATCTTACTAAATGTTTTCTAACCCATGCTTTTAATGCAAGTTAAGTTATATGACAAAGTCGTCAACAAATTGCTCAACTGAGCTTCTCAAAGTAGAAGTTGAAATACGTTCTGAGATGCTGCCAAGCAAATATATAAAATAAAAACTACAGTACCTTGTTTTTTCTTTTGTAACATAAATAACTTCAGCTTTTTCCCCTACTGGATTTTCATCAGTACAAAATTTCAAGAAAACAAAAAAATTGAAGGCAGTTAGCCCAAAAAAATTTTTAATCAAATTTTTATTTAAATTAGTAAATTAAATGTTAATATATTTTACGTCAAAATTTAATGACCTACATTTTACTGTATTAAATGACTTTGCATCAAATTTGTCAATGGAGTCCATTTGAAGTTGCTTCGCCACGCATTGCAAAAATTGCATGGTTTCTTATATTTCAAGGTTGGCAGCTAAGCTTTATCCATCTAAACATATTGTTGTTCAAAAGAAATGCATCATAAGAAAGACATGAGTTAGAACAGTTATTTATTGGAAAGAATGCAAAGACATTTTATAGAAATGGTAAAACGTAGATCTAGCACCTCAAGAATATGACACTGACATCTTATTATATGCAAATGAGAGGACAAAGGGAATGTGATAGAACTTCTTTTCATGATGATGATGATAGGGCCAGTGTGATGTTTGGTAGTATGACTTTTAGATGGCATCACCATGGTATTGATAAGCGAAAATTCAGCCCCTTTTTTCACTGATCATATAGAGAAGGATAGATCATATATATACTCTTTAGAGAAGATAATTTGCTATCATTCATAGTCCTATTATATTCATTCTTTTTACCATTGTAATCTCTGGCATCAATGGTGAAAAGTCAAAAGAAGTTATGAAAGTGGATGCTGAACTATAAGCTTTGAATGGAGCAGTTGTCGACGAACAGTGCTAGCAGGTATCGTCTGATGTGTCACTGATCTCCATTATGCTAATGCCATAGAAATTGCTAAAAAATCCATCACTGCCACTCATACCAGGTGTTCATCTTCCTGTTCTGTCATACCTGTAAGTATTCCAACCCCGTCATGTCAAGTCTTCGAACTTTCTTCCGTTCATTGTCTCTAAATATGGATGATTGTAGTAAAAATCTGCTGAACACATGTGATTTCTTGGTATGAGAAACACAGTCTTTCAATCATATGATTCTTCCTGTTTTAGAGTTCAGCAGTTAGTCACAGTGTTATTTCGCTTTGCATTCAGTTGTCTTTTCATACTGTCATTATGCTAACAACTGATTTGCTGATGCAGTGACTGAGATTTTTTATTTATGGTCCTCTTTTGATAACAACTGGGTCATGCAGCTGAAATTTTAATCATTTGAATCTGACGATAAATTAAGGCTACCAATGGCCTAGCGCTGAACACTGATAGTTAGGTCCAGGTTTCAAATTCCAGTGAACGGGCTGGTTGCATGGGCATTTTCATGGTTTTTCCCATGTGAAACATGTATATGAGCCAGTTTTCCATAAAAAATCCTTCATAAAGTATCTCTTCCCTTAGGCTGGCAGACTTCGAGTGCTTTTTTATAAACCAAACCTAATGATAAATTAACCATATTTCAGGTCTGTCCAATAATTCTTTCTTAATATAGCTATTTCTCAGAAAAATGAAGTATTAGGGCTGCGGCGTTCTAACATTATATATCCATTTTTTATAAAATATTATGGCTTCCCTTAGGCAGATAGCCCTTGAGTCCTTTACCATATTAAAATAAACCAAACCAAACCTGATGATAAATTAACCATATTTCAGGTCTAACTGATAGTTCTTTCATAGTATTGCAATTTCCCCGGAAAATAAAGTATTATCAGGGCTTCATTGTTCTAACATATACCTATTTTTTATACTCAATTCTTGTTTTTTCACTTCATCTTTTGAATGCTGTAGATGGAAATTATTCATTCCTTGAAGTGGCAGTGTGTAGTCATTTTGGCCGTTTTTCTCTCATCAGCTGTGAAAATGAAATGTGTTGTATATCCTAGCTGATTCAATAGTTTTCCCCCAGTACCTTTTTAAAAGTAGGTTTAATTATCAATTAACATGTTTTCATTTTGAATTTTTAATTCTTATAATGTATAATATTTTGTAAAGCAATCAGACCAGCTGACTAGTTTTCCCCAGTACCTTTTTAAAAGTAGGTTTATTATCAATTGACATGTTTTAATTTTGTTTTTAATTCTTATAATGAATAAACTAAAACTTAGATGAGAAGTTTGAATAAACTTTATTTTTCCGAAATGGTGTAAAACTTTTTACTTCATTTCATTTAATAGCATGTAATCTCTTAAGATAATTTGTTTTATATTTTAAAATTGTTGCTATCCATCTGAATAATGAGTGCTTCTTCTTTTCTGTATTATTTGCACTTGGAGATGAGTATTGCAGAAAGAGTATAAATTGCTGCAACATATTTCCTAAATATCTTTTCATTTCTCCTGTAATATGAAGTACTAAACATTTTTTAGGTATTAGACTGACAAAGAAATCTATTTTGTGGGTAAATTTTAGAAGGAAGTGCACATATTCTGTGTAGTAAAGTATAAAATTTATGGATTATGATTTTATTGTTTAGAATAAGCTGGACTGATATTTGAAGCTTAGATTATACTTTTTAGATAAAACTGACTGCCATGAATGTGAAAGGGTTCTGATGGAACTCGAAAATATCGATGACGAATGTGATATCTTCGGTATTGATCTCGTTAAGATTTTTGATCCTGAAGCAGCAAAGCAGTACAATGTTGAAAATCTTCCTGCTGTAGCCTTTTTCAGAAAACAAGTAGCTGTGTTCTATGATGGTATGCTTAACTAATTTCTGATTCATTACTCTTGATAATTAATATTGACTTCTGAAAAGTATACTTTGTGTATCTTAATAAATATCGGTAAAAAATATAAAAAGTTATGATACTATGGTTATTAATGAATTTTTAATTATTAATTAATTTTTTCCATTTAACTTTTGTAAACAAAAGGATATTGAAAACTATTTTATATTGTCAAATAACAATGTTCATTGAGTTCTTACATACTCTCTGAAAAGTTTTCTGAATGCTAAATACTTCTATAACTTCTTATATATGTATTATTTGAATATATTAGGAGATTTGTATGATGAAGAAGCTCTCCTTAAGTGGCTAACAAGCAATGATGTGTTTGAAATTCAAGATGAAATTGAAGAAGTTAATAGAAAGATGCTGGAGAAGCTTTTAGAGGACAATGAGTTTGTTGCAGTGTTCTTTTGTAAGTAAATTATGGTTAAGTATAAAAAGATTTAGAATTGTATATATATAGATAAGATAAAACTTTTAAAGATAATTTTGAGATCATGAGATGAGAATGGCTTATTTTTGTATACATCATGTCCTAATCATGTACATACTGCAGAATTATTTTTAAATGCATTTTGAATAGAGTATCTATTTTAATATAGCCCCAATGTTTTACAGATGAAGTTGAGGAAATGCATTAGGAAAATCAATAATACTGTAGTTGCAGGAATACTAGCCTATAAATAATTGTATGAATCCACTTTCAAAAATACATTTATGAAATAGTATCAATATTAATAGTAGTCCATTGCATATTTTTTCAGAATGTCAAAAATTCACTTGGGATGTAATATTTGCATGATATTTTATGCAATTTATTGAAATGCCAGGTGCTTCCATTTTTGTTAGTCTTATTCACAGCAAACTTTAATTGTGCAGTAAAATTTTAATTTCATCAATGGTACTAAAATAGCATCTCCTTGAGAAATTTCATTGTCAATTATTTTTACATAGATTAGGCTATCACTTTTTCATATTAAAAAGTATGTATTAATTCTGATAAATGTGAAAATTTTAAAAGCATTATTAAAAAACATGTAGTTGATTTGTTTGGAGACTTAGTGTTAGTTTTTTTTTCATTATTCCAATTAATGTGAATTTTTGGTGTGTTTTCACTCTACATGAGATAGCGAATAACTCATCACTTGTAGAGACGTTAGGTATCTTCGAAGCAGGAGTGATGAAAAATGAGTGATGCCTTCGCCGGGAATCGAACCGCGGACCTCTGGAATATGCACCCAGAGTGCAGACCACTACACCATGAAGGCAGGAGAAATACTTTATATACGCCCCCTTTTAAAGGGCGACTGGGGATTAAGGGACCTAGTCGCCAAATCCTGGGTGTGGAGAAGCATCATCCACCTACCTTTTTAGTTCGGATGGCAGTGTAGTCATTGGGTTAATTGGCAACACAAGACTTTAGGGTTTTTAGGGGACTAAACACCAAATCCTGGGTGTGGAAATCATCATCCACCACCCTTTTTAGTTCGAGTGCCAGTGTAGAGTCTTTAGGTTAATTGGAAGGAGGAGACTTGAAAAATGAGCAATGCCCTCTTTGGGAATCAAACCACTGACCTCTGGACAGGGTTCGTACGGTCCTTAAGAGTCCTTAAAAGTCCTTAAGTTTTTTGGAATCGATTTTTGGTCCTTAAAAGTCCTTAATTTTGGCCAAAATTGGCTGAAGGTCCTTAATTTTAATCATGTGAAATTTCTGTCTGTTTTTACGACTGCCATTTTGAGTGTGAATTAGCAGTTTGGAGGTATATTTTTGGCAATTCACTGATAAATATGGTTATTTGAATGGGTTATGATTTGTTCCTATTTCTAATATAAGTGGTGGGATACTCGAGTTTCTGAGCAAGAAGTGAAACAAGTATTTAGAAATTATTTCACTTTTTCTAATGAAGAGCTCTTAAACAATTTTTTGCTTTTGGGGATGTGAATTCTTTTATTGAATGGATCTAAGTTTGGCGATTAAGATCAGTTTCTATAGAAAATTTTAAATTCCAAGAGCTGGGAATTTTTCGACGATTTTTTTAAACATTCTAACATTGATCAATTTCATTAAAATAATGGTATTATATTGAAATTAAATATTTAAAAAGTAACATATTAATTTAAAAATATCTTTTCAATTTTTTTCATGATAACAGTTTTCTCATGTAATTTTCTCAGAGTATTCCGAATTCTCTGAATATGCATCAGTTTTCTCTATAAAATTAATGAATTAATTTCACACTTTTTTCGTCTGATTTTTTTTTCAAAATATTTCTGGCTGTTTGCGGTTACAAAACTGGTAGGGGTATTTTTTCTTCGGGACGTTAGACACTGCAACTTGAAAAGTTTAGAAAGATTTGAAGGCAGAATTTATAGACTCACGATTCCATAAGATTTTAGTAAAATGTGGCAAAATGAAAAATGTCACTATGGTATTAACACATAATGGATGTATTTTACAGAACATTTGCAATGAATTTCTTACTTTTTGGATAGCATCTGGAAAAACAACGAAAACATAATACTTGAATGTTTTACTTCTGATAGTAGAATCTTTTTTATAACATTCTTATTTTCCCTTTATTTTCTCTACTTTTCACTAGACACAAGTATGGAAAATATTAAAAATGCTTCTAATCTTATCACATGGACAGGCATTATAGAAAGGAATTTTTTGATTAATAAAGAAATTGAAAACTGGCAATTTAAAAAATTCATCTAATATGTCTTAATGCATCATACACTAGTCTGACGCTAGGCATTTTCCCACCTAGTGCTATCACGTGGAATATTAAACTTCTCTGTGTAGATCCTAAATTTTGCTGACTAGTGCCTTTCTAAATTCTGCTTCCAGTGCCTGCTCTAAATTCTAAAAGTTTTGCCATTTCTACATTTTGTTGCTGGGTGTGTCACTAAATTCTAAAAATAAAAAGAAAATGTAGACAAAAGAAACTGAATATATAAAATTATTCTTTAAAGATATGTACAGTTATTATTATGTAAATTACCCAGTTGTTTACAATTTCAGCTTTTACTATAATTTCCCTTTTGTATTTTTTCCCCAGAATGGGAATCACCTAGACATTTTTTAAACTGAGGTGTTTGGAGTGTAAGACGAGTGTGTTTCTGACCTCCACTTGCTCCTTGCATTAGTTCCTGTAGGCTCTGATAATTTGTAATTATTCGTCTTTGCATTACTGCTGCCGACATTTGAATTTGTTATGACAGTAGAGTTACTTAGCCAGCTTAAAATTAAATTAAATTGTATAGTCTTTGACCACTAGTCTACATTTTTTGTTTGAATTTGATTGTTCTTGTTTAATTACATCACCCGAACTTTAATTGATTTGGTTAGCATAAGAACATACCTTTAAGTTCTTTTTAAATAAGAGGCTTATTTAAACCTTTGTCTGACTTTATAGTTACTTTGAGACATAGCGATAATTTGCTTCACGTCTTTTGGGAGTTTTTGGATTATTTAACTTTTACCAGATCAAGTAAACCCTCATAGGTACATTGTGGGGAGGTTGACAATTTAGGACATAAAACACACAGAAACTAATGAGAACATTGGTTTGCATATTGAGAGAAATTTCTAATTCTTAGTAAAAGATGCTTAAAGAGAAGGAAATCGATATAAATTAGCCAAAATGTTTGGCCAAGCTTCAAATTAAAAAGAAGCATAAGTATTTTGTTGAGTGCTGTTGCTTTAAAACATAAATGTTTTGTAGCTTTTAATGTATAATTATCCTAATATCGTTGATGAATCAATGACATAAATTGCATTTATTTTAAAGTGTGAAATTTTATTAGATTGTGATTTTTATAGGTACTTTTAACAGTATTGTTAAAAAAATAGGTAAAATTTAATAGTGGTCATGTAAATCCATAATGACTAAGGTTATCTAACTATCTAATTTAATTTATAACTAACTGCTTACTCTTAAAAATTATCTGTGCCTATTAAAGTGAGTTATTGCCTTTCATTATTTCTTAGCGTAGTACAAGGTAAAACACAAAAATGTAAAAATTTATATAAAATTTATTCTTTGAATTTAGTGAAAATTAAAACAAAATAACCAAAAACATTCTTACCATTTTGGATAGTCAGAAAGAAAACATCATAAAACAAATAATAATCATTGCTAATCCTCAAAGTAATCACAATGGTCATTCAGTACTTTTTGACTTATTCTTCGTATCTAGTGAGACCTAAAATAATGCAAAGCAGCTTAGTGTCACCTCTGGTGCTTTAGTGGCTTATTGGAACCTTAAAGTATATTAACTGGATTACATCCCTTGGAACTGTGCACGGAGCTACGACACCTTAAAGTATATTAACTGGGTTTTAATCCCTGGAATTCTACATGGAGTTATGACACTAACTCCAACAGATAGAGCCCAACTAACTTTAAAAACTAGCTAACCGTGCCCACATTAAGCCTTTCAGTTTTGTTCTGGTCTGCAGGTCTGTCTTTAGGCAAGGAACAATGGTGAAAACAGCCAGTCTTTTGTTATAAATCATTCTTATTGTGATTTTACTTCTCATTTTAACCTATGACGCTTGACATAAAATCTACCTGGCTATTCACTAAACCTCTAGATTGAGCAAGTAATGAGACATTAAAAAAAAAAAATCCAACATGAAACATAACTAAACATAACTATTAGTAAAACATAAATAAAATGTCACTTATCTTCTTTCAAATATGCTTAACTATTATAAGTGTAAAATATTTAATGCTGTTTGATAAATTTCATAAAGTATATTTTATACTCAAACTTACTAATAATTATGTTAATTAAGTTATATTTAATAATATTGCATCCTACGTAGGGATCTATTTTATTTTTGGATGGTATTACAAAAGTGAAGTTCAGGCATAGATAGTATTTTTAATTGAACTTAGTAATTTGCTGTTTGCTCGTAGGTCCTTAATTTTTTCATTAATGGTCCTTAAAAGTACTTAATTTCCATGTGCAGAAATGTGTACGAACCCTGCTGGAGTATGCGCCCAGCATGCTGACCACTACATTACGAAGGCATGCTAAGAAGGCGGGAGAAATACCTTATAACTGAATGCAAAAATGAGATTTTTTTCCTGTCTTCTGCTACAAGTAAAATAACCAAAAGTAAACCATATTTAAAATGAAGCAACAATGTAAACCTTCTGCAGTCTTATAAACCATTATCAATGGCATCTGTCTGTTTACATTGTTTAAGGAGAGAATTGATCATTAATCACTGTAGAAAATGATATGTTTATGTATAAACTTATTTTCATGCCATCATTTAGAATATAAATAGGAAATTGAAATAACCATATGAGTAAATCCATTTGTTGTAACCCAGTAGAATCCCAATAACCCATGGTAATAAAGACTGGCGATTCTTCAGGTATCTGAAACCTGAAGTAAAAGAAGTCAATTGGCTATTCTAAGTTAAGAATTTAAGTGAAACATTTATTTTTTCCCTAAGTTAAAACTGAAACATTTATTTTTGTACCTAAGTCATTCATAAAAAATGAAGTTAACATAATCTAATATCAGAGTAACAAAAATGCATACCTAGTATAGTTATGCAATAAATTTGTTCACAAGATCATTTATTTTTAACCAGAAAAATATCTTTTGTATTCCACTCATAAACAGGAAAGTGTAAAATGCATGTTAACAAGAAGTTTCAAATTTTCTGCATTTTACACAAATAAGTACTTATTATTAAATAACTGTAATTGAATGCTTTTATTCTGCAGCTGTTTTACTTAACACAGTTTACAGATATGTAATTCTTTAATGACAAAATGATTATGTTTGTAGATGAAAACAATTGTCCAAAATGTGATGAAGCTCTACAAGAACTTGAACGCATTGATGATGAAGCAGATGATCTCGAAATAATGTTTGTCAAAATTAAAGATCCTCGTTATGCTAAAAAGTATGGAATTGCACAACTTCCAGCTCTTGTCTATTTTAGAAAGAAATTCCCTTCAATATATAGAGGTAATGTTTTAGTACAGATATATTTGTCCTTTTAAAAAATATTTTAAATAAGTTGTACCCTTAATAACTAAAATTTTCTGAGACTAAACATAAAAATGAAAATTACACATTAAATTTAATAATCATTTATTTGTTTAACAGCATAAACATCTCATGCCATTGAATTTATTTATCTTATGTCTAGGGAATCTGCTTGAAGAAGAGGAAGTTCTAGAATGGTTAAGGAAAAATCGTTATCGTCATCCAGAGCTTAATCTGTTTATGTACGGTCTAGCAGCTATTAGTTTAAGTTTTGTTATATACACAATATTTTTAATGTATTGTTTTAATAAAAGTAAGGACAAGAAAGAATAATTTATTTTCAAATATGGAAGTATTACAGAATATTTTGCTGTGCCTCAAGAAAATAAGTGAAATGGACTCAAAGGGAGAAAAAAAAAAAAAACCTTTCAACTTCTTGTTTTGTTTTTGTTTTAGCAAAAGAGGATAACTTTTGTTTTATGCTTAGAACACTACCCAGCTTAACTCACTATGCTTATTACTGTTGCTTGTCTGTCCACAATATGAAGTATATAATTATTTAAGTTACTGAAAATTCTGTATAAAATTTGTAAACTTTATTTATGCATATCCAGTATCACTTCATATTTTTTTATTTAGGCAAATTATTAAAAGCATAAATATGGAGTGTATTTTGCTTTGAAAATATTTTATTTAAGTCAAAATATACAAAATTTTTGTACAGTTTGTTTCACTATTAAAAATTCTTGTCCACATCTTTTTTTCTGTATGCAGTTATTTTTTTTCTATTTTTATCTGAATTTAAGAAAAGAGCTAAAAAATTTTTGCATCAGTTTGAAAGCACTTTGTAGCCCTGAAATTATGCCAGTACTTTAAAATGTAAAAAAAAAAAAAAAAAAGAAAAAGAAAAGTATTCTATAACTTTCCTATTTTTATCATTATTTTTGCTTATAACTTGCATGCTTTTATCCCACAAATCAATTTTATATTAAGGACAATTATTTCTCTCAGATCGACAACAGAACTACAGCATCATAACAGTGTTGCTGAAAATATTTGCTCAAAATTAAAGTGTAGCATTTATGTGTTTTCTGTGTTTGCATATATATGTGTTGTGATTTGCATTTCTTTGAAGAGCTTGTAATCGAAACAGTTATATTCTTCACAACATTGTATGAGCAATGTTCTTGTCCATAAAGAGGTATATGTGCTGTTTTATTACCAATCATTTTTGTTAGACTTGATTTAAAATATTAGTTATTTAATTTATTATTTAATTTTAATTCTGTGTAATAATAAGTAAGTACGCTAAAAGAACGTATTGTAAACATATTTCTGTTATTAAAAATTATATTTGTCTAAGTCTATATGTTGCGTATAATTATATTGTGAAGTAATCTGTTAAAATAGTTTCAGATCTGTGTTAATGATTCATTATAGCTTCTATGTACACTGTTCAGTATTTGTGTGCTGAATTAGTCAGTGCTCCTGTTTTGTGATTTCTAATTGCCCATCACTCTTGCATTTGATCATAATAAAGTAAAATGTTAGTGCTTTCAAAGCACTTTTGCTCATCAGTATCGGAGAATTTAATGTGAAGAAAACTTGATCAATCATATTAGCCATAATACATTAAAAAATTAAAAGCCCTGGCTTGAGTTATGAAGTTATAAAAAACTCATTTTATTTTTCACAGCCCAAAAGCTGCCAATACATATGGTCTCACTTTCATCAACTAGCTTGTGATTTATCAAGGTGCATCATCGTTTTGTGCTTTGTCAGCTGTATGTTGCTGTAGGATTGTTGTCAATAAATTGTTAAATTTAACAGTAAATGAAATGAAATGTATGCATCTCATCTGCTTATGTCATTTCATTGTTTTGTGTTCATGTTCCACTGTATTTGTACATTGCTGTTTCCATAACTTTTATGTTAATAAAATATGCACTTGATATCAACTTTGTTAAGTTCTTTATATATAATTTCATATTCAGTTATATCAGTGAAATACAAATAATAATGTTCATGTATCATAATAATAGTATGGAAAGGAAATCCTAAATTGCACTTTCTGTATCATCTAGAATCAGAATATTGGACATGCGATTTCATGTCATTTCACTGCATTCATTGTATTTTCTTTCTAGCATTTTAGTAATATAAAATGTGGCAGTTCATCAATAAGGGATTTCAGACACAGTCAGAGTATGCAGCAAGCCAGTAGGGTGAGCAAGGAACCATCTAACTTTTAAGTTAAAATACCTGAAGACAGCATGAGAGATAAGGAAGGCTTGGCATATAAATTTGATTCAAAATTATAGATCTTTTATTTATTTTTCAGTGGTAAGTTCAGTTATTTAACATAAATTTTAGGACTTTTAGTGTTTATATTTTTCATAGTCTTCTGATCATTTTACCCTTTTATTTGTTAATTCCTCCTCATATCTATTCTCAGTAATTTCTTTTTTGAGTTCTTTCTTTTGCATTCATGTCTTTAATATTGATTCCCATGACTTTTACTTAATTTTAGATATAAAATTTTTTATTTCTTTCACACATTTTAACCTTTATAGTTTTCAACATGGCCTAAATTTAACTTATTTCTATTTTACTAGCATAACTGTTCTTATACATGCTTTACATTAATTATGTTATTTAAATTTTAGTTCTAAATTTTCAGTTTCTTCTGTATACTTTAACCCTTACAGTTTTCAGCATGTTCTGAATTTTCAATTATTTCTTATAATTTCTCATTGTTTTATTTATCGCTTTATTTTACTTTAAGCACTTATTTTCAATGCTTTAATATTTTTGTCCTTTCTATTTTTATGTGCACTTAATTCAGTTTATTCTTTATATTTTCCATTCATAATATCCTATTTATTTTCTGTAATATTAATGCATAACATTATTGCTATTGCTGTTTCATTTCATTTTGCACAGAATTTTGTATTTTTCTTAAAATTTTGATATTTTTCAGCATTTATTTCAGTATGTAATATTTCACTTTATTATTATTCATTGACTCATTCTTTATTTTAAAATTCTATTTTAATTTACTTGGTCTGTAATTTTTCATTCTGTAATAGTTTTAAAATTACTAATTCTAGTATTTAATTTTAGTCACTATTATTAATTCCCTCTCATTTTCAACCTTTATAATCTCCTATCTATATGAATATTTCCTCATAATTTTTAATATACATGTCATATTCTCCAAACATAAATTTGCCCACCCGCAGCCGAGCGGTAAAGTCACTGAATACTGGTAGTTCGGTCCGAGGTTTCTGAATTTTTTAACAACGAATAGATAGAAATATTTTCGCATAATTAAAGAAGTTTTCGTCGAAAGATGCCGGTTCTCGGCTCGTCAGTTCGGGGTCAAAGGAAGAAAATATGGCGGGAGGGTGAAGCTAATTTGTAAACATGCTGTTCACGTTATGTTCTTAATTATTAACAGTTGTAAGCATGCAGAACCATGAGGTTTCCAAATCCTAAAATAATTTTAAAAATGTATAAAGTTCTAGTTTTATTAACTTAACAATGCTACTGAAGAAAATTTCATTACTGTTGAAGGTTATTTGTATTGTGAAATATCATGAAAAAGGACAGGTCTTGTTGCAACATAAAATGCTTTAAGCTGTATGCAAGTAACTTGAAAAAAAAAAAAAAAACTGAAAACTATGTAAAATGGATGTATTAAAGGTCATGCATTCATTAATTATTACATGGGGCTGGCTCTTACCGAAATCATCAATCAACAGGCCAAGTCTTAATAATGAAAATGACACTTGTAAAAGAATATTAGTATTCTATATGAATTAGAGAAAATACATATAGTATAAACATAAACGTAAGTATAAGAATACTAATTTTATTTTTAAATGAATTTCTATTTCCGTTATGCTTATACACTGTTTTCTGTGCTAACTTGAATTAATACAAATTTATTTTCATATATCACGTTTAACCTGTTAGTTTTAATACACACTTATTTCTTTTTTTTACTACCATTGTCTGCTAACTTGAATTTACATACATTAAAAACCACGTTTACAAAATATCACGTTTATGGAGCCGCGAGCTTGGCGAGTAAAAATGCAACGTCGCCAACGGGTTCCCTGCGGATGAAAACCCAACCATTTATTAGGTTTTCAAAATCGCTAATAGTATCATTCTTTTTCTACTGTTCAAATTGTTTATCACAACGAATATCAATTTCTGCTTCTCTTTCTTCCGGTGTTTTTCTTTTTGTGGGAAGTTTCTTCGATAAATAAGATGGCTGGTTTTGAAAAATCGTTGGATAAGCATCTTTTTTTAAAGCTGGAATAGTTCTAAGAACTACTAATACCGTTCCATCATCACGAACAGCTTTATCTTCTCGAACGATAAATTCTTCTTCGAAATGCTTAATGCATACACTACTGTGTTTGCCAGCTACAAAATCTTTGCGATTAATATTTTTTATCCATTTCTGAGAGAGTACAGGATCCGAAGGAAATTTGAAAGTGGACACATGTTCAGTAGTGCTATCGTAATTTGATCGGCATTTAGGTACACTACACTTTCTTGGCATTCTAAAACACACTTTTTCTTATAAATTCGAATTCACAATATAATATTTTACTTTCCGGTAAAATACAAAATTTTTCAGAAGAAAAAACACATGTAAACAATTATCTCACTAGCACTAGTCCTACGGCGAAGCAAGCTCAACTTACAAAATTGAAAGCC